GGTGGCAGCGGCAGCAGGAGTACCGGCAGTAGAGGAGTTGGTTGAAGTGCCAGTTGGGTGGACCAGTGACACTGGCAGCAGCAGCAGCGGTATCAGCAGCAGCACAGGCGGCATCGAGACGGATTTAGTGGGAGATTACATTTCTTCCCCTTCGTCGTTATCTTCTGACTCCTTTGATTATGTACTTCCTTCTCTTGCTTCTAATATTTCGTTGCCTATTTCTGATTTTTCGTCGAAGCCATCCCTTTCTTTCTCTGATTCTTCGTCTGACTCAACTTTATTACCTCTTACTGTTATGCCGTCACCTTCCTTTACCTCTGGAGTAGATTCTGACTGTCCTTCCAAGGTTCTCTTTCTTTGTGGGCTGCTCTCGCGGGCTCTTCTCTTCTCTAGCCTTCAGGTGATGTTTCTGGCACTCTTTTTTCATGTCCACGGCCTTATTTTAGCACCTGCGCTAAGCTCACTTTTCCGTTCTCAAATCTCTCACGTCTTCGCTCTCTTCTTTGCACAGCTGCACCGAAATTGCGATGATTTAAAAACCGTTGATTTCTCTCTCCTTGATTAGTCACGTATCACATTTTTCGATTTGCACGACTTATCCAACGGAATTTGTGTGTGCTTGTGGGCGTGCTTGTGTTGTTGTAAGCGTGTTTACTTTCGTTTGCACTACTTTTGTTGTTTTATTTTTAAATTGGTAATCAAGCCCACGTGTTATTAGGTTTGTTTAAGCCTTTACTTGCACTTAGGTAACTCTCCCTGACGATGTCGACTTAACCACGCCTCATGTCGAGACAACTACACCGTCGCCACCGCTCTCAGTCGTGGTGGAAGCAACCACAACGACGGCAAGACCAACTCTTCGCCACCTGGTTCCGTTTGTTGATCTGTCAGACATGAGTGTCAGGGTTCTGGACACAAATGAAGGTCGTCTGCTGTCGGATGCGCGCATTGAAGGTGGCTACTTGCTTCTGGGTAACGGCAGCTCGATTTTACTGCAAGATGTGCCAGGAGTCTTCCCCTCTGAAAGCGTCGCCGCAAATGCCATCCTTTCTGTCGACTTGCAACGTGGCACCACAAATCTGGTTGATATGGAGTCCGGTGAAGTGCTCGTATCAAAGGACTCTTCAGAGGGCATCGACTTGGACACCATAAGTAGTCTTGGCGAAGGGGTTTTATTTGAACTTGCTCTTGATGACGTACTCATCCACGTCGACACCTACAACGGACGTTGGTCGGTTCAGGACGCAAGAACTGGTGAAGTAAGCCTAGTCCAGGAAGTGCGAGACGGCGTTCTCTACTTGGCAAATGGTAAACAGGTGAAGTTGCAAACTTCTGGGTCGAAACAGCTGCTTGCAGTGAACGCGCAAACTGGTATTGTGCGGAAATTTGACCCTGAAACTGGAGAAATTGGTTCGCCATATCAACCGGAACACGTGGATATGGAGGTGACCCCACATCCAGTCGATGATGACCTTGTTACGGAACCAGAAGTCTCTGAACCACCAATAGTTGTAGACCAGGATTCCACTGACGGCGACGTTGTCACCGAACCAGAAGTGACTGAGTCACCAATAGTTGAAGACCAGGATTCCA